AGTTCGATTCGAGTTTCGAGTTTCGATTCGAGTTCGTTTCGAGTTCGATTCGAGTTTCGAGTTTCGATTCGAGTTCGTTTCGAGTTCGATTCGAGGTTCGAGAGATTCGAGTTTCGAGATATTTTACATACGGAGACGCGAATATCTTTGACATAGAGACCGGTTTTGCGCCATGTTATTATTCACAGGCATGTTATCAGTTAGGCAGTCAAGAGTACTAAGATATATGTTGAGAGTAGATAAATCTTCTATCAGTGGTTTAGTTACATCTCCACGTATTGTCTCTACCTGGCTACTATTCCGGATTAAAAGATATAAAGTAAACGGCATTAATTAGGACCTTTTAATTAATTAATTAATTCGTTAATTAAGCCATTTCATAAGGATTATAAGAAAGCGATATATGCAGTTAATCAGCGTCGTCTAACCTTTTCAGGAGCATGCATCTAAAGTGGTACGTGGCTTTGAGGAAGTCTTCAGCTGGCTCCCTTTGGGGACTGTCATTGATCATAAGGTGCTGGTAGTGCATGGCGGCATCTCTGACCAGACAGATCTGAAGTACTTGGAGAAGATTGACAGGCATAAGGTAAACACCTCTGTACATTCACTTATCTATAGCGAGTGCAGTTGTGTGAGTGCTTGTGCGCGAGCGAGCGTGCGTGCGTGCGTGCGTGCGTGCGTGCGTGTGTGCGTGCGTGCTGCGATGTGTGTGTGTGTGTGTGTACGTCTGCGTGCGTGTGTGTGCGTGTGCGTGTGCGCGTGAGTGTACACGTGACCGTGTACGTGAGAGTGCTGCTGTACTTGTGTGCGTGCGTGTGTGTGCGTGTGCGCGTGTGTGACTTGTATGCCTGCCCTATAGTGCAGCTCCGGCTAGAATTCGCTTCTCGTGTTTATACTGATAAATGCTCTGATATTTGCAATCCCGATTAAATTTTCAGCTACACTTAGGAGAACTCCGCTCTAATTTTCGTTAGATCGATTGAGCCTGATATCAATGTTGATTTTCTGATACGCATATCGTGTGCGTCACTCTACGCATCTAGCAATAATTCGTGTACATGCAGCACTTACGCACTTATATTACACTATATATTACACTTAACGTGCGCGCGTGCGTGCGTGCGTGTGTGCGTGCGTGCTGCGTATTTGCGTGTGTGTGCCAGTGTCTGCGTGTGCGTGCCTGTGTGTGTGTGAGTGCTGCATGACGGCTATTGATGTCCGTGGATCAGCTCACGCATAAACCTGAAATACGATGACCAAATCGAAATGCGTGTGCCATATGACGTCAGTGCAGCATAAATGTGACGTAGGTTATAGTTTGCATCGCTGCTCAACCTTTTTACGCGGGGCTTATTATTCTGACGTGAGCAGAGGGAAATGTGACACGCACTGTAGAGAGTCCACGTTTACGTGATCGAGTAGGCTTTTCTCCCTCTGGCGGTCTCAGCGTAATTCCCTGGTTTAGTCGTCCGCGATAACCGTGCGCGCAATCAGAACATTTGCGTCAGAATAAATCCAGGTTTCCTTACATCACGCGCGCTTGCTGAACGCTTTGATGGACATACCGGAAGATGCGCGAGTTGTAAATAGCCGATGGCGTCTGCGTCATTAGTACGAGATTGTTCCGCCTATCGAAGATCTATCCGGTTGCCGAAATTCAGCGACAAATCTTTTCAGACGCACGCGGCGTTGCCTTCATTAATCAGGCGTTGCGGACTCGTCGCCATCTTGAAAGAAGCGTTTATCTTCGCTTCCTCGGCTGATATTTGCAGAGCGGGAAGCCTAACTCGGCTTGGCGGTTATTTTTTTACGGCAGATTGCGACTTTCGTGCGAGCGCAATCACCACCTTCTTTCTCGCCGCGATTTTCGTCTCTCGAATTTCCCAAGTAAAATAGGCGACGAATATGATCATGGGATGAATCAGCATGTTTGCTGAACCAACAGTGGGAATTGTCTATAGTCTCCGCGTCGCGCGCGCTTTCAACATTTGGTATTTCGAAATCGCGTAGGCGCATGCGACGACGACGACGTCGCAAGCAGATTAGGAGCGTGCGGTCGATCGAGCCGTAATTTCAATACAATCCGCGAAGAGCCGCTCGACCGATGTGGCGCCGTCGATCCAGTCTTCGTGTTCACATCATTAAGAGATTGCCACGCAATGACGTCACCGGCGTCGATATCGCCAACGTCGGTGTCGTCGACGTCAGCGTGCGTTGTCCGCGTGTTATCGGGAGAACGTAATGAATGGCATTCAATGTTTGCTAGCGAAAACTGGCTACGAGTCAGTGGCGTCACAAGGGGGTGCGGAACGCACCGGGTGACACCATCGCAGGGAGTGATTTTAATATTGCTAGTTGTTTATGTCACTACTATTGCAATTACATTCTGTGATATACGGGAATTGCGATTTACGCGTAGCATTAGTACAAAAAACATTACTAAGGATTCTGTATGGTCTGGTACGGGAGGAGGTCCATGGGGGTGACACCATGAGTTACTGCACCGTGTGACACCAACTCTAGTGACGCCGCTGCTACGGGTTATGAAGCGCAGTTAAATATATCACTATTTATCGTGTATTCCTAAATGTTGCGTGTCATGAGTGAAGTACAGAGAATGTAGATTTTGGCATCAGCTGGGAGAATGTTCTAGGATAGCGGACTGAAGAAATCCTCAATGCCCACGTGACTGTGGTGTAAATTTATTTTGCTAACTTATTCTACTAACTTATAAATACTAAATGACATTATTAATTTGAGCAATTATTGTACATTCGTCTTAACTCGGGTCGGAACTCGAAAGCAAGCTACATGTAGTTATGTTCTATGATTCAGCGCAACACTACAATACGAGATAAAATTTAATAATAAGAGAGAAATTCACATTGAGAATACCCATAATCTCAATGTCGGAAAATGAGTCGCATTAGGGTAACCTAGGTAACTAGGCTATTTTAGGAGCGATAATCGAAAGAAAAGTCAGCTCGTCTGTTCGTGTTGCAGTACATGCATGCGAAGTATGCGCTCGAGATACTGAGAGAAACGCGGAACGTGCTGAAGAGGCAAGCGACTATTAACCATGCGTCCACGTCCATCTCACGGCAGATCACCATCTGTGGCGATCTCCATGGCAAACTAGACGATCTGCTCATCATATTCTACAAGGTGAGTAAGCTTTGTGCTATATATCCATCAATCCTTTATTTAGCGCAAGTTGAGTGAGTTTTGTGCTTTGTGCTCGTTCACTTGTCTTGCACAATGTACGTTATCTTTCTTATGCGCTGTGTCCGTCTATTCATCTAATAGCACAAGTTGAGACAGCTTTAGCCGATGCTCTGTAAAGCGTATTATCTTTATACTATGTCGATCGTATTCAAAGAGGTGAGAAAGCTTTGTGCTATATATATATATATATATATATATATATATATATATATCCAACGTAATATCTAAAGAACGGAATAACAATGTGTATGGGAAAACGTAGGAAAGGGAAATTGTTTGTAGGAACAAATTATAATTACGGGCTGCAAATGCCAAAGACCAGGTTCAGAAAGCTATGTGCATATTCGCAGTAATTTAAAAAAAGACAATTGTTCTAATAGGGAGTTACTCAATGGTTCTCGTTAGTTTAACAGTATGAATTGTTTTTGTCTACTACACCACTAGATGGCCGCAGATTACTCATGTTATGTAAATGGCAAACTTGTAGTTTACGTATGTCTCATTTAAGTTCTAGACCGTTGGAAAACTGCGAAACCTGTTATTATACAAGAAAATAGGCTAGCCTGGGCATCACATCTCGCGGACATAAATTTCTAGATTCACTTATTCTGATGTCATTGGCGTGTAAGCTAGCAAAATCCTGGAGGCCATTTAGTGTTCAATTACTCTTATTATTCAAATATTCAATTATTCAATTATTCAATTATTCAATTACTCAATTATTCTTTAGTGTTCAATTACTCTCGCTGTGAATTTGCAATACGTATCAAATACTTATTTTGAGTTTATGTCCTATCACCTCATTCTTAAAAACTGCAAATTGTAACGCGCATGAATAGTAATTTTACTATCAACATGAGGTAGGCCCTTCCTAAAAATATCAAAATATATATTCCACGCACTATATGCTACCGCGAAATCTTCATTTACCGTCATCTTCTAAACCATCTCACATGAATCAGAAAATTACACCGAAATTAATGTCATTATAGTTGTTACCAACACGTTTACATGTTCTTAAGCTATTTAGTTTTTATGCGTGTATTTTATGTTTTTTACTCAGATTTTCATGTTTGTATTATATTAATTATACGTTAAATTTATTATTTTTACATTCCAGAATGGTTTACCGAGCGTTGACAATCCGTATATCTTTAACGGTGATTTTGTCGATCGCGGTGATAACTCCACCGAGGTGGCGCTGATGCTCTTCGTCTGCCTCATTCTCAACCCAAACAGCCTGTACATCAACCGCGGTAACCACGAAGATCACATCATGAACCTCAGGTGAGCGTTCCACATTACAGGTGACTGTATTCCTACTGCGAGCCGAGTGTGCCGTAAGTCGACTGGAGAATTTCTCCATACAAAGTCTCGACCGTAGTTCTTCTTCTCTTTACGCTCTCTGCTTAAACCTAGCTCGACATTCGTGAATTTAGCGTTAGTATCGTGAATGTTGCGTGAACATCGTGAAAGTGACGCGTGATTCATAAAGCCTGATTCATAGTTTTTAACCGCAGGATTTGCAATATGAATATTAGTTACACGTTAAATGTTACACGTTACAGTTAAGCGAACGTGCCATTATTAAAGTATTCGAATTCTATAGACGCAATGCAACAAACATTTTCTCGAAGTCACAATCACTCAGAAGTTACAGTCAGACGTCATTGTAACTTACTGTCATCTTGTATTTCCACTTTTTATATAACAAAGATCATGCCTATAAAATTACAATAACGATTTGATAAATTGACACTTGAATTGTCAGTGGGCAACAGGACGTCGTTCAGAATATCAGGCGCGGTATTTTATTTTTATTTTCACTTTGTTTTTATTTTTCCATTTGTTACCCTTTTACTGTGCTAAGTGTATTTGCCTTGTGACATTTTGGCATTTGCGAGTATAGTAATTTCTCATTGTTTTTTATTAAATAAACAAAACGAATAAAAGCTATTAATGCCTGTGCCAATCTAATAAACAATGAATTCAAAGCTATAAATTAAAGGTCATGAAGCACCTGAGTTCGCGTGATTTCCGCTTCGTGTACATTCAGTTATTCGATTCCGCCCCGGGGGGTTGGTTGCTAATGTGGCTGCGTGCTGACGAGAGAGGGGTGCAGCTTCCATTCCGTGTGCATACATACTGTGGCAGGACCGCGTCTGAGATGACGTGTGCATGAATGTCTGCGGCGTGATTACCTACGCCTATTTTAAGGTTATTTACGTTTCACTATGCGTTTATTTTATTTTGCCCCAAAACCTAGGCATCACGACTACCGCCTTGCCCATTCCCCAGTAGCTACGGCCCTGGAAACCGTACACACGCACGCACGCACGCACGCACACACACACACACACGCGCGCGCGCGCACTCAGTCAGTTGGCTTTGCCAGAGGATAAACACACGCGACGTTCCACCCGCGGAAGCCATTGGCGTCAAAGCCATTTGCCAGCATAAACTGCGCTTCTCCACGTCAGCAATGCAATAGAACAACTAGCAGCTTAGTCACATCTGTGAGGTTGCCCCGATAGGATGAAGCCGGTACTGCGCTTATTCGCAAGAACAGCGCAGGTGTAGAAATGAGAGAAGTGGAAGAGGTGAAGAGAAATAATTAACGACAGAGGGGGAAATAAAGGTAGAGATATGGCTACGTGTACATGTAGAGAGGTACAGGTACAGGTACATATAGAGGTCCAGGTACATGTAGAGGTACAGGTACAGGTAGGTTCAGGTACAAGTAAAAGTACATATAGAGGTCCAGGTACATGTAGAGGTACAGGTACAGGTAGGTTCAAGTACAAGTAAAAGTACATATAGAGGTCCAGGTACAGGTACAGGTAGGTTCAAGTACAAGTAAAAGTACATATAGAGGTGCAGGTACATGTAGAGGTACAGGTACAGGTAGGTTAAGGTACAAGTGAAAGTACATATAGAGGTGCAGGTACATGTAGAGGTACAGGTACAGGTAGGTTCAGGTACAAGTAAAAGTACATATAGAGATGCAGGTACATGTGCAGGTAACGAGAGATAGGGATATAGATAATCATATGGATATGGATAGAGATAGAGATAGAGACAGAGACAGAGACAGAGACAGAGACAGAGACAGAGACAGAGACAGAGACAGAGACAGAGACAGAGACAGAGACAGAGACAGAGACAGAGACAGCGACAGCGACAGCGACAGCGACAGCGACAGCGACAGCGACAGCGACAGCGACAGAGACAGAGACAGAGACAGAGCCAGAGACAGAGACAGAAGCAAAGACATAAATTGAGGATGGGGATGGGGATAAGGATTACGTAATACATATTTTTCTGTTTAACACACAAAACATATAATACCTTTAACATGATACACACACACGCATATGCACATGCACGCGCGCAGACACACACACACAACCACACACACACACACACACACACACACACACACACACACACACACACGGGCAGCATTACGCACATCACACAGAGATAGAGAGAGAAAGAGAGAAAGAGAGAGAGAGAGAGAGAAGAGGAGAGAGAGAGAGAGAACATACACACGCACGCACGCCACCGCACGCACGCACGCACCCACGCACACACACACACACACACACCACCACACACACACACACACACACACAACACACACACACACACCAACCATACTATATAGTATATAATATATATACATATATATATATATATATATATATATATATATGCCTATAGCTGTTAGGGAAACCCTGTTGTTGGTTTTTGTTGCAATGTCTATAAGAAGAATTAATAAGCTGTTATTTACAAGTGCAAGATAAACAGCATTTTACCAGCAACAGCTGAAAAACATCCTGTCTGTGTGCAAATTACAGCATGCCTCGGATGTTGGTGTTGATCGGAACGTATGTATATGCGTATTTTTCTGGCTGACTTTTATTAGGACTTATAATTCAAATATTTCGTGCTTTTACCTATAGGTACGGATTTATCAGGAGCTAATGCACAAGTACACAGGTAGGCCTATCAAGTTGACTTATTAACCTCACGCTGTTGTTGCAATCACCCGAACTGCCGAGTCGCGTATCATCGTATAGCACTGAACAACATGCAACACAACTACAAAATCCACCGAGATTTTGCTCTAAGCACAACAGGCATTCGCTTTTCATGATCGCCTACACGCAATGCCACAGGATTTCAAGATAAAATCTTACATTGGTAGCTACGCCTTGCTCACTTTCCTACTAAAGGGCAAACTTAAAATCCCTAGAGAGATCCTCAGAGGTCAGAGTGAAACGTTCTATATCGGCGCATGTCGTCGGCCTGTGATGCATTCGATCAGAAAATCAACTGATAGACGGCTTTTCACTGCATCGAGTGGCCTGCAATGCTTTCAGGCGCACTCGCGTAGTAAGTGCGCTGCGAGAATCGATACGAAGGGATTTATTTCCGCATGCGTGTTTACGTGTTCTGAGATTCAGCACACACTTGCTGACACGCGTGCGACTCCCTTCCACACACACGCGCGCGCACACATACACGTATGCACGCACGCAGACACACATACATACACACACATACCACACACGTATGCACGCACGCAGACACACATATACGCAAAACAAGTATGGAGCACGCAGACACACGCATACATACACACACATACTACACACGTCGTATGACGCACGCAGACACACATACACGCACACACAGCACACGCTCCTACATATACCACAATACACGCACGTACGCACGCACGCACAGCACACACACACACGCATACAACACCAATACGAAGCGCGCGCGCTCTTACATATGGACATATACACCGAACAGACACGCTGTTACGCCGCACACGGCGCGAACACGCGCACACGCACACACGGTCACCGCAGCCTTCACCCGGAAACGGTTTCTTTCTTGTTGTGGTGGTTCATCGCGCGTACCTCTCTCTTAGGCGTTGCCGCTCGCCCTGGCGCTAGCTTCGGTGCACTGACCTTTACATCAGTATCAGGTTTTCCCGTGTGTACGATTCAATCTAAAGACTCGTGAACAAAATGCAGCTCACGCGTCATAGCCTGCACACGACACGCCACGCACGCACGCCCACGCAGATGTATACGCAAATCACTACACGCGCACTTGCACATTCGCAATTCATTTATTGCAGCATGTTTAGCGTGATAATGCACCTACTTAGTCTTGCAATGTGTCTATTTCACCGTATTATACATCTAATAAGCGGCTTGTACGTTATAGTTATAACAGGAGTGTCGTAATATAGACTCCTATTATTATTATATATCCTCCTATATTAACAGCTGCTTATTTTCCTTTCTGGTTGCTACAATAGAGTCTGCTTAGTTAGATAATGTACACTATATATATATATATATATATATATATATATATATAATAGATATATAATATATAGTATACGCAGGCGCCCTCCAACGAGAGCACGTAGACGAGATTCGAGATACTTCGAAAGATTCGAGTTCGGATTCGAGTTTTCGATTCGAGTTCGTTTCGAGTTCGATTCGAGTTTCGAAGTTTCGATTCGAGTTCGTTTCGAGTCTTGTTCGAGGTTTCGAGAGATTCGAGTTTCGAGATATTTACATACGCGGACGCGAATATCCTTTGACATAGAGACGGTTTTGGCGCCATGTTATTTATTCACCAGCATGTATCAGTTAGGCAGTCAAGAAGTACTAAAGAATATATGTTGAGAGTAGATAAATCTTCTATCAGTGGTTTTAGTTACATCTCCAGTATTGTCTCTACCTGCTACTATTCCGGATTAAAGAATAAAGTAAAACGGGCATTAATTAGACCTTTTAATTAATTTAATTAATCGTTAATTAAGCCATTTCATAAGGATTATAAGAAAGACGATATGCAGTTAATCAGCGTCGTCTACCTTTTCAGGAGCATCGCATCTAAAGTGGTACGTGGCTTTGAGGAGTCTTCAGCTGGCTCCCTTTGGGGACTGTCATTGATCATAAGGTGCTGGTCGTGCATGGCGGCATCTCTGACCAGACAGATCTGAAGTACTTGGAGAAGATTGACAGGCATAAGGGTAAACACTCTGTACATTCACTTATCGTATAGGCGAGTGCAGTTGTGTGAGTGCTTGTGCGCGAGCGACGCGTGCGTGCGGCGTGCGTGCGTGCGTGCGTGCGCGCACCTGTTTGTGTATAAGGTATAATACTATTTCTAGTTCTGCGTTGTACCAGAGCTGGCGATCGTCTCGTGAGTCACACACTGCAGTATCAAGAATTCTCTTCGCTTTCGGCATGCACACCAAACATGCACGCATGCACGCACGCACGCGATACGCCGACAGCCATCGCCCGGCACACACCACACACCACACAGGTCGAGGCACACACACACACACACACATACACACACACACACACACAC